TTTCCTGTGCTTTGTAGGCAGCCTTGGAGTAAATGTTGGTGCTGAAGGGACTGTCTGGTTGTTGTTTGTTTCTTCTTCTCCTCCTCCTACTTCCTCTTCTTCTTCTTCCTCTTCTTCTTCTTCCTCTTCTTCTTCCTCTCCTCCTCCTCCTCCTCTTCCTCCTCCTCCTCCTCTTCCATTTTTTTCCCTAGCCCTGGGTTAAGCAAGATAGACCACTATTCATTGACCACTATTTTAGCTCAGTGGTATAAAATAATTCAGGAAGTAGGTTAATTTGGTGTCTTTTCAAGTACAGATTGCTGTTTAAAGAGATAAAGATTTCGTCAACAAAATATAGATAGCCTCGTATTCATAGAGACTATTATTCCTTATATATCATTTACTCACTGCCTTCAACTTAGCAACTCAATTTGCTTGTATCTTTTTAAGTGCTCCTTCTGGTTCTCCCGCCCATCCCCACATTTGAACATTCCCTTATGTGTAGGTTTTGGCCATAATTTATAAAGGACATATATATCTGGGCATACAAAATTATACATGCAGGCTTGGATTTTTACAAGATAACAGCTTCCTATGAGATATACGTGTTTTGCTTTGTTCTGGGACCATCCTTAAAAATATTTGTGCTCCGAGAAAGGGAGACATTGACCCAGAAACAGAAAAGGACACATAAGTAATAGCTTCTCTAGTTTAACAGTCAATATTTTTTTTAAGTTAGGTAAAAGTTTGAAAGAAGAAGGAAGCTTTTGGATTTGTAACATAACTGTCCGCCTTTCTACTCGTTGGTCCGATATCCCGTATCTGGGTAGATGACTACATATAACTGGATCAACAACAAATTCAGTGAGTTTTGTTCCTGAATGTAGGCCACCTGATTGGAGTTCATTTCCCTCATCTAAACTGCTGGTTGTTCTGATGTTATATAAACATGCTGATGGCTTCTATTTCTGAAAATAAATGTAGCTTGCAGTAAGCACACAGACAATACTTTTAAAGGATAATAATATGGTCAGGGGGGAAAAAAAATACAGTCAAGAACTACATATCTATCCCTTGCATGAAAACACTTACGCCCGGCTAGTCACATCTGCGGTCAAGAATTATGACCTTGCCAGATGGTGTGGCTCAGTGGTTGAACACTGACCTATGAACCAAGAGGCCATTGTTCAATTCCAGGTCAGGGCACATGCCCAGGTTATGGGCTCAATCCCCAGTGTGGGGGGTGCAGGAGGCAGCTGATTGATATTTCTCTCTCCTTGATGTTTCTATCTCTCTATCCCTCTCCCTTCCTCTCTCTCTAAAATCAATGCGAACATTTTTTAAAGCAATCTTGACCTTCATCAGGCAAGCTCCGACATAGCTTGCAGTAAGCACACAGACAATACTTTTAAAGGATAATAATATGGTCAGGGGGGAAAAAAAATACAGTCAAGAACTACATATCTATCCCTTGCATGAAAACACTTACGCCCGGCTAGTCACATCTGCGGTCAAGAATTATTACCTTTCCAGATGGTGTGGATCAGTGGTTGAACACT